GAGGGACCAAAGACACAGGACATCGCACAAAGTCTTTGCCATGGGAGCAGGTATCCGGCAGCCACAGCGCAGGGACATTCGTATCTCCATCACCCTCTTCCTTGGCTTAATGCTCCTGCTAGAGATGTTCTGCCTCTTTGGCCAAAGGAAAGCATTGAAAATACAGAAAGAGAGCGCAAGGGAGGAGTATCAGGAGCCATGGCAGGAGCATCCTTCCCCGGCTCCCTCCAAGAAACGGGAGGGTAAAACCAGCACTACCTCAAGCTGCAGCACTTTCCTCTGAAAAACATTTACCTGCCAGGAGGGGAGCAGCGATTTTCCATATTTGTATACTTTACTGTGATAGTGGTATACAACAGGCGAGGTCAGCACTCAGCAGAGACACCAAGGGGCTATTTCCTCACTAAACCGTGTATTGCTGTAAGTGAAAAATAAGCGTTAAGGGTGGCTATTATGCAGACAATAAAATGTTTTTATATCAGCGTAGGTGTCAAGCTCAACACTTCTGCAGAGTGGATCCTTCACATTATGAGCCGTCTACGAATATGCTTAGCCAAGCAGGGATGCTCCCAGCAGCAGCCCAGTGTTTGTTATTAGAAATAACAGACTTCCACTCTGCATTCGACAGCTAGGGATCTTGGTGGGGACGGCACAAACACAGGCTGGCCCTGGCCCCTGGGGAGGGGTGGCATCTGGGGGACATCATGCTAGAGCAGTGGGAGCCACCGTGCAAAGGAGAAGGAGCTGGACAGGGGAAGCTCTCAGCAAAGCCAAAGGAGAAATTAATGCATATTGCTCTAGGATCACTAGGAGCTAATTAGCCTTTGCTGGCCAGAACAGGCTCTCAGCTCTCCTCCAGAGCCAGGCATTTTCCTTTCTCTCAAGTACACACTCACACAGGCTGCAGTCAATATCAGAGGGAAAGAAGGTATTAAGCCAGAGCTCGCCAGCCTCCAGCCCAGCAATCACTCAAACTGACAGGGATCAGGTCTGGTGGGGCGCACAGATATTTGGGCATTCCCAGGTGCAGCTTATTTGTGGTTAAGCTTCTGTCACCAAAACCAAGTGGATGCAGCAGGGATCTGCTCCTAAAGTGGCATAGCTCAAGTGCCTCTTGCCACCACGCCTGCTGCAGCAGTCGCACACCAGCACGGGTACACCCGCACAGCCCCGGGCTGCTCGCCTTCCCACGACCCGTGCCCCAGGGAGAGGGGTGCTGGCACCCGCACTTTGCACTGGGGCCTAACGAGGAGCTCTGCAGCCTTGACAAGCCCTCGCTGCCGCTTTCTAGGTCTGCTCTGGGATCACCCATTTCTGGCATTCTGGTGGTTAAACTTCCCTGGCCAGAATTCACTCACGTACAGACTTAAGAGCAGGAACCGCAGCAAGGAATAACACCAAGGAATAACACCACCAGAGCCCTGGGAGCAGACGGAGGAGCGGGAGGCTCTCCCCACACTGGTGCAGACAGTGAAGTCAGCACCCAGCCCGAGGAGCACGATCAATTAAAGCTCCCAGCCTGTTAGCAGTTGTAAAGGGCAGAACAGGAGCAGAGAGAAGCAGCCCTTGCACACCCCTATGGAGACAGAGGGCAGCAACAAAGTGCCACCTTCCAGCAGCCGTGCTGAGCCGAGGGGCACGGAGAACCCCAACAGGCACACACACCAGTGGGTGTAGGCAGCAGGGAGCCGCTTTCCCCTCTCCTGCAGGAGAGCAGCATGTCCAAGGCACTGAGATACCTCCACTGCCCAGGACACCAGAGAAGGGCACTGCAGAACCCCCCCAACAGCCCAGTAAAAGCCAGAACTGGGAAAAGAGAGACACAAGAAGGTTGCTAAGAAAGCACAAAGCAAGAGCATATTCTCAGAGCCGTATTGCTCCACCCCAGCCCCAAGAGCAGAAGAACCAGCAGCTGAAGCGCCTGCTGCTCCCCAGCCCAGCACACAGCTGGCAGGAGCAGGGAGCCTCAGCCCAGCCCCAGAGAGATGCCAGGGACAGCCCAGCTTCTGCTTGGAAGTTAAGAGCAGTACCTCCTCCTCCTGCAGCAGCAGCAGCATCCCTCCTGCAGCAGCACGCACCACCCCTCTATCCTTTATTTAAGCTCTCCTGGGGCCAGGTTGCCTATTGCCCCCAGCTGCCTTCGCATGGCACCCTTTAACCCCTTCCCGTCCCCAGGTCCTGCCCCTTCCCCCCAGCTCACGGGGTGCGTGGCCCCTCTGGCCCCTGGTCCTTCCTCGCCTTGGGGAAAGCAGCAGTTTCTGCTGACAAACCCCATGTTGGGGCTGGAGGCACAACCCCCGGGGCTCTGGGGGACCCCCCAGGCCGGTTGTGGCTGAGCAAAACTGCAGGTTTATGCAGCCCAGTCCTGCCTCCTGCACCAGCCCCTGCTCTCTCCAAGCTGTCATCCGAGAGCAGCGGGGTAAATTCATGCTACGGACAGCACTCAATAAATGAGCTTGACCGGCTGTTTGTTCAGCCCAGAAGCCCTGTCCCTCACCACATGCCCTGGCCCAGAGTGGGGCACAAGGAGCCCTGTCCTGTCCCCTGCCCTCCGCCTCCCTCCTCGCAAGTGCTGCCCCGTGCTCTGGGGACGAGTCCTGCCATTCCTCGGCGAGGACAGATCCTCTTTTTTTTCAATGCCACGGAATCTCTTGCCAATTATTCTGAATTTGTCTCTTTTTCTCTCCCTCCATTTGCTGTTTTTAACTGATAAGATGTCCCGCCAGATACGGCTCTGCATCAGGAGAGGTACAGAAAGCTGACGGTATTTTTTTGTATCGTTTGTCCACCTTAGTCTTTTCTCCCCAGGGAAGGAGGCTCCTGCCGTGCATCCCTTCTCCTGATAACTTGTGGCCCAGGCTCGTCTCACTCCTTTGATGGAGGAAAGCCATCTCAAGGGTTTTTTTCAGTCATTCAGCTGTCCTGGGCCCAGGACAGAAAGCCACCAGGCAGCCAGACTGTCCCACCAGGAGCTCAGCGATGTCCTGATGTCAGGAGAGCTTGATGGCCCTGGGCACACGGGCAGCTGCCAGCTCCTCCTCTGTGGGGCTTTGCCCTCTGCAGCTCCTCCAATCATTCCAGCCAGTGCAACGGATAATAAAAACCATATCCAAACACTTGACAAAACACAAAAGCCCTTTGCTGCCGAGACACGCAGGGCCCCTGACAGGACAAATGCTCTGGCAGCACGTCAGCAGTCGTGGCCCCGAGGCACCGCTGCCTGCCCACCCCAGCCGGAGAAGGTTGTTGCCAGTCAGATCTCAGCGTGCAGAAACGGAGACACGGGCAGACTCATCCGTGCGGCAACGTCAGCGAAATCGAGACGAAAATCAGCCTGTTGAGCATCGCCTGAACTGTTCCTCTGCGGTTCGGCTAAATGAAAGAGTATGCCTTATTAATGCAACGTGTAATTAGAGAGTGTAAGTCACAGCCAAAAGATTTTATTGAGCCAGAGAATTAGACAGTTGCACGAGTAATGAGAGCGGCTGCTGTTGCATGAGCCGGTTGGGATTGGAATGGCCAGGGCAGAGCCCCCAGCCTCTCTGCCTCGGATCCAGTCGGCAGGAGAAGCACTCCCAAAGCCTCCCTTCGCTGCTGAATGAAAAGATCCTTTGCAGAGATTAAAATGAATTTATTATTTCACAGTCTGGTATTTACATCACATCTGGAGCGGGTATTACGTACCCCATTACAAAAACGTCTAAATAACGAGTCCCGCTGGTGGCAGCCGGAGCAGGGAGGCAGGCGGCTGCACGCACACCAGCGTCCCCAGGCAGCGCGCTGTGCTGCTGGCCCCAGCCCCCGGCCCCTCCTGAGCCTGCACGTCCCCGCGGGGGTCACGGAGCGGGGCTGGGGTGCCCACGGAGGCGTTGGCCCCACGCCCTGGCAGCGATGCTCTTGCTCTGGCCGTGCGCCACCGGCCCCACCAGTGCAGCAGCCCCGGGGTCCCCAGCCCTGCCGATGTCCCCAGCCCTGCCGATATCAGGACCACGGGGCTCCTGTCCTCTCCCGCCCGAGCTGCCACACCAGGGGAAACGGTGCGTCCTGGAGAAGGTCACGAGCTCACGGCCAGGAGATGGTACATTTTTCTTTATTTTGAATAAATGCAATGAAGCCTGGCTCGGTCTGGGTCCCTAGCTGGGCATCTGCACGGTGTCAGGCACACCAGACCCACAGACAGAAGACGGCTTCCCCCGCACATTATTCTGAAATTCAATTGCAAACACAAGCAGTAACTTGGCGCCTGGGACTTGCACGGTAGAGAACAGATATTAAACTCGCAGCCTGATTAATGCAATTACCAAGGAAGGAGAAACCAGCAGCATGCTCCATGGAGACATTTCACCATCTCTGGGGCCTGACGGGGCATCAGACAGCCCCATCCCCACCGACACATCCACCACACATGGTCACAGCAACCAGGTCACGGGGCAGGGAAAGCACAACGCTCCGGGGGTCGGAGCAGCCCCCTGGGTGACGCGAGGACAGGCCGCAGCTCAGCGCCTGCTCCTGGGAACCCACCAGGCCAGGAGCCGTGAGCCAAATGGGGGAGGGTTTCACACAACCATTGACTTCCCAATTCCTGACAGCGACCCTGATTCAGCATCTTGGGAGATGGGGAAAGGCAACTCACAGCGATGATTTCAGCTATTTCAGAATAAAGCCCAGTTTGGGGGACCGCTGTCTGTCTCTGTATTGTCAACAGCTCTTACATGATTGCAGTATTTTATTTAAGAGGATGGGAAAATGAGCCCATTTCTTGGTCACTGAGTGTGTCCACAGGGCAGGAGGGGACTGTGGAGTGACAGGAGTCTTGCAGCTGTGCTGGGGTCCCATACTTGCAGCCTCCGGGGAAGCTGGGGCTCAGCACAGGATGGCAGCCCCGGAGCATCCCGCCTCCGCAGGCACCGTCCGGCCGGACCACATCCTGCTGCTCACGCTCTGCAGAGCACCGGGGACCCACACCGAGGCTGGTCAGCCACTGCCGAGCTGCACGGAGGCTATCGTGTGACCTGCGGACAGAGAAGAGTGGGGCAGGTGCCTGCTAATGGAAACGGTCGATCTGTTTGCAGCGGGTGAGTTACCCAACACATCCAGCTGATTCCCCCGTTCACAAATTGTCAGCGAACAGCCTCAGGAGATGCAAATATGATTTGCTCTTTGCAATCATTTAATGGGGTGGTCGTTCCAAATTTCAACTTATGGATTGTTTGTGAACTCCGTGCTCTGGCTACAGCTTCGACTGGGGGTCTGTCTGCAGAGGGGACCAGGAGGGGCAAATCCAGCCCTCTTGGCACAGTTCCTAACGGGGCACCCAAAACCCTTTTGAAAACATAAGGAGGCTGCATTTTGGAAATGCAGACCTAGGGGAGGGCAAGGGACCCAAAAGGGGTGCTAGGAAGACGGCCATGGAGGTCAGGGCTGCTGGGGAGCACAGAAGCCCTGGGGTCCTGCAGATGGGAACGGTCCCCAGCGAGAGCCCACAACAGCAGAGCCAGAGCAGAGGCTTTGGGTTAAGTTAGCAGCTGGGGGAAAAATAAACAAACAATATTAAGATGGGAAAAGGACAATGAGCTAAATGTAGTGCTGCAGTTACTGGTCAGTGGTGGGTGCTCAGCGCCAGAGGAACCTTCTTGGATGTCCATAAAAACACTTGAGCATGAAAGTGCTTTCTGTGCACGAAAAATAATAGCAATAATGAAAAAAATCCCAACATGGCTTAATACGATAATTTTATGGCAGGGGCTGTGGGGTGAGAAAAACTAGAGCATAAGGAATAATTACACTCAACAGTATGAACAATGATTACAAAATTATGCAACTGATTAACCATGGCATATATGTAATTACTAATGAGTTTGATAAAATTTTAATTATACCTTGTTCTTTGGGGCATTCAGCAACCCATGAAAATAATAATCATGTAGTGCTCTGTCACAGATGATTGCCTCAGACGGGGGAGCGGTGACGGATTCAGGGCTGTGCCACTGGGCTGGGACGAGCAACCTACTGCCCCGGAGCAGCGGGGAGATGCTGGGAAGCAGCCAGGACGGCCCAGCAGCCCTGGGCTGGTAGGGAAACGTCCCCAGCACGCCTGCTCATGGGCTGAGGCACGCAATGCCCTCCCCACCGAGCCTCCCCGCCAGAGTTATCGATCAGCAAAGCCACAGGACCCACTCGGGGTTTGTGCTACCCCCGCTGGCCCCTCCAGCACCGGTGACAACAGCACAGCCCAGACCCTCTGCTCTGCTTCGGCGCATCTGTAACAAACGGCATGTGCCCTGGAAAAGCTGAGGCCCTCCCCTTCCCCTGCGAACTCCGAGGATGCTTTGCTTGCCCCAGGCTGGGGACAGGCCAGCGAGGCTTCCCCCCCCAGCACCCTACCAGCATACATACCTTGGTTGTCTTCACTTTGTTGCCGCTACTGCAGCTCCAGCCCGAGAGGTCGGGCAGAACCTTGCACTCCTCCCCGTCGAGGCACGGCTCCATCTGGCACCACCACTTCTGCAGCACGATAGAGGCTGGGGGAGAGGAGGGCGTCAGCGGCCGGGCTGCGGCTCGGAGGACCCGGCCCCACGGCAGCCAGGGCAGGCTGCTCTGGGCTGGCAGCGCCTGGGGGACAGGGTGCCAGCCCTGCCTGCCTTCGGGAGGTGCAGCCCCTCTCTCCGGCACAGCCCATGTTTGCAGCGACCCTCCCGAGGAGCCGCTCATCGGCTGCCTGGCCTCATTTGACCCAACTGCTCCACCTGCCTCCAAAGCACCCTGCTTTCTCTCCCTACCCCAGGTAAAAAGCCTAATGACAGCCCTGTCCTTCCTCCCAAAGAGAGCGGGGAGAACAGCGCTGTTCACTAACCTACTGCAGGCTCCTCTCATGGGGGCAAAGGGACCGTCTACCACTACTTGACTCTGTTAGGCTCTTGTAATTGATGCCTCCAACATGGGTAACCAAAGAGGGCTCCTCTATCTTTGGGAAGGATGACACACATGAGCTGTTTGGGACAACGAAAGCCTTCCCTGACAATTCATCCTGGCAGCGCTTGGTGTTGCACACAACCACGCTCACAGGACACCAGCTGTCAAGCGAATTGATACCACGCTGGCAGAAGCTGCAGCTGCTCCCGCCAGCTCTTCAGCAACGCCACATGATGCCATTCGATAAAATATACATGGCCTGAGCTTTGCTTAGTGCTCCTTGCAGGTGATGGTGCTGCATGGCTGGAGTCACGTCCCTGCCTCCGGCTGCAGCAGCGCGGCGAGCAGACACGCAGGGATCAATGCTGCGGTGCCTGGCCCCGGTGCAGCGATGCACTGGAGGAGCTTGAACCACTGGAGCACCGTAACCCACCCACGGCAACACAGCCTGGGGCTGCACGGGGTGGGGTAATGCCGCCACACCAATGGAGAGTGTCCCCAAAACGCTCCCTCTCCCACTCTGCTCCGCTGCAGGAGCTCCTGGGCAGTTCTCCTCTGTTAATCCTGGGGGCACAGAAACTCCGCACTGGCCTGACCGATGGGGAAGACGCGTTTGGGGGGGGGGGTTCACGGTACCCGGCTTGCGGCCACGAGGTACTCACCATCCACACAGGAGGGAGCCGCCCGCGTCGTCCCTGCCACCTGCCCCGGGAAGCAGGAGCATTTCACTGTCTGGGAGCGCTCCTCGATCTTGTTCTTATTGCAGCACCTGTGAGCTGCAATGACTTCGCACGTACCGGGCTCTACGTGCACTGCGGGAGGAGAAACAGCCGCTGTCACGCCGGGCTGCGCCCCAGAGCCCCCAGGCCACCTCCCGCTCACCGCCCCCACGCAGCACTGCCGGTGCATGCCGCGACCGAGGCACCGGGAGAGCCCGGCACGGGCGGTGCTGTCCCGGCCTCTGGCAATTGCCGCAGGGCTGCTGATGACATACACACGGCTCAACCCAGCATCTCCCCAGCCCACCCTTAAGGAGAAGCACTGGTCCTGCTCCAGACCTCCCGCACCCAAGCTCTTACTCCTAACAGCCCTCACACCCATCCATCCTACCCAGCAAAATTAATAGCCTCTTGCCACAGCCAAGCCAAGAGCTTTATTGACATGAAGAAGCACAGTAGTTAATTGCAGCTGATAACGAGATGCATACTTTGCTACATGAGGGGATGGTGAACGGCATTGCCTTTGGCTTCAAACAGAGTATCACCACCTCCGACCCTAACTAAAACCAACGCTTCCGTCTCACCATCACACACCATCCCCTGGCTGGAGGAGGGAGGACCAGGACAGCGTCTCCGCCCTGCAGCGACACAGAAATGTCACGGTGTTCACCAGAAATCCGGGCTGCTCTGCTGCCCCCCCTCCCAGCGCCATTAGAATATTAAGGAAGAAAGAAAACTAATGTGCTGGCTTATCACCTCTGGGATCCAGGTTTAGAAGCTAGTTAGCATCACAAATCAATGACTTTCGCTGGGTAATGGCCCACACAAGCACAATACAAATGAGCCAAACGGGGCTGGGTAGACTTCGTTCCCATGACCTGAGAGCAGGTTATCCCTACAGGTCCTGTTTAACGAGCACTGGAGGAGCGAGCGCAGAGCCGCGCACTGAGACATCCCCTGGGTCACCAGGAACAGGCTTTTATTGCTGCAGCGAGCGGGAGCCAGGCTGCGCGGAGGACGGGAAAGCTGCGTTTCTGCAGCGTGCCATCCCAAAACGCATGCAGACGAGCACGCATCATGCTGTCAGACCTGGCTGCTCCGCACCCTCGGCTCAGGAACGTGCACTCAGCCCCGGGGTGCGGGCAGGAGCCCCACAGGAGCCCTCGGCAGCCACTGGAGGAAAGGCTCGGTAATGGGTGCAAGCGGGACATACAGGGCTGCGGGGAGCGGAGTCGCGTGCTGCTGCTGGTGGAGGTACCCACAAGCACAAGCCCACACTCGGCCCCTTCCCAGCACACACAGCTCTGGCAGCTGCTCCAAGGCAACCAGTGTTTGCCAGCCTGCCCTCGCCAGCCGGCCCATCCAGCCTCAGCTCCCAGCTCTGCTTTGCCCCCCAGCCACTGCCGGGAGGGTCCTGCTGAGGGTCCTGGGGCCCCATCCACCCCCAACCCCGCGAAGCGAGGCGGCCGACCCAGGGAGTTCGTGCTGCAGGTTTGTGCTGGTGTCCCCTGCCCAGCTCTGCGGGAACCGGCACACGAAGGGGACCGGGGCGGCTGACCTGCGTCACGGCACACGCTCCCACGGGTCCCCGGGGAGAGGCAGCACGTACCCATGCTCACCAGCAAACACCGCCTGCCTTCCAGGAGCTTTTGGAAAGCTGCCACTTCACCTTCTCAAATGAAAGCTCAGGGAAATGGGATCTCTCCCCAGGCACGGGGGGGAAATCCCTCTGCCTTACAGCCACATTTTCACATCCCTGCTGGGAAACAGTGATCCAAGTGCAACCTCCTGGCTTGTGCTGGCCGGGCACAGCCGTGCCAGCTTCCAGCCAAAGCAGTCCTTGCCCCTCTCCTGTTCCCACTGCGTCCAAGCACCAGCAGAGAGACGAAAAGGCAGGACCGGAGGAGCTGTTCCAGGACTCGCTCTCCAGCGATGCCACCAGCCTGGGGCCAGGGCAGAGAGACAGTCCCTGCTGTGCAGAAAGGCCGTGTCCTAACACGAACGCGGGCAGTGACAACACTGCTCGTCCCTCGCCGCCTGCTCCGTTGGGGAGCCGCAGCCAGGAGCCACGCACCCCTGCGCCCGCCGGCACATGGGCGGGGTGGGCCATGCAATTACCACGGCTTTAATTTGGCTTTATTTATTGTTATTTCATGGTCATTTTCTTTTAATGAACCATCACCTTCCCTTCTGCCGATAATAATTACACAATTACCTATCATGGAAGGATTTTTAAATAGCATCTCTGGCCATAAATTTTATCCTCCCTTTTAAATGCCATCATAATTCAGCTTTAGTGATAATTTCCATTCTTTCTGTGTGCAGAAATGGTAGACTTTGGTGAAAGCAAGAGGGAAAGCAACTCATTACAGAACAAACGTGACTGTTTTGCCCTGCTTTTATGGTTAATGAGATTTTCCAAATAATCTCAGGAATAAGCAGAGGTCCTTATTCCTACCACATCTCATCCAGGACCACGAGGAGTCACTCACCCACCCTGTGCACCCCAACACAGCCCCCACCCCCCCAACAGGGGATTTTTATACCCTCCAACTTCAGTGTTCACACATAGTTGTGGTTTTGACTTGTTTTTATAAAAGCCTTCCTGCAAAGCTCCATTAGCAGAGCTCTTCCCAGGAGGAAGGGCCAGATGACCCCTCTGCTCCCTCTCACTTCTGCTCTCCGGCTTCTCGTTTTCAGCTAATTTATTCAGAGGGAGAGCCAGGCAGAACTGAGAAATCGCTCATTACAGCCATGCAATAGGAGTTTGCTAACACACCAAAGCCCTTTTAATTTGCTCAAAAAGGTGCAGCACGGAGATAAAGAAAAATTCGTCTCTCCTCTGCCTTACTGCAGCTGGCTGAGCATGGCAGCAGCACGGTGCTGGACCCGCAGCCTCGGAGCCCATCCTGCCCCGGCAGAAGCCCGTGGGCACCCACCGTGTCCCTGCCAGTCACACCAAGGAACCCGGGCCGTCCCGGCAGACTGCAGACACAAGGAAGGCACTCCCACCAGGACAGACAGACACAGTCCACCTCGCACCTTGCCCCCAGCCCTCCAGGCAGGCCACCCGGGGAAGGCAAAACCCATGGCAGGCGAGAGATGCTCTCACTGATAAGATGGTGCTTTGTGCTCCAGCCCTGCCAGACCCAGCCTGGGACTGCGATTAGCCAAGCTGTACCAGGGGTGCAGGTCTGCTGTTGTGCAGGGAGCACAGAGAGCGGCTGCAAGCCTCAGAAGAGAAAGGTTCAGAAAGGCTTTGTCTTCCCTCAAAAGCGTACAGCTTTCCTTCGAGCCAGTCAGAGCCCAGGCAGCTGCTGCTAACGGGGTCAGGCAGCAAACAGCAGTGCCAGGAGCAGCCGCCTCCGCCCTGGGAAGAGCTGCCTACAAGGAGCACCATGCACAGGGGTGGACACCCCATCGCCCACAGCCAGGCTGGTCCCAGCTCACCAGCCTGCTTCTGCTCCAGGATTCAAATCATGAACAGCTCAAAGCCAAACTGAGGCACCATGAAGGTCAGGCAGCCTCCTGGCACCAGCAGCCCTGCAGCAAGGGCTCTGCTGATGGCAGAGCTGGGGGAGCAGCACACAACCCCAGGACCAGGCCCTCTCTCATGCCGTGAAATACTTCCATCTGCCTAAAGATCTTGTGAGCATCCGATATCCTGCCCTGGGACACAATTACACTGGAAACTTGCCCCAGGCACTTCTCTCCAGTGCAGACCCCTCCAGGCGCCAGCCCCAGCAGCAGGCAGGGCAGCAGGGCACGGTGCGGCCCCTCCCTAAGCGACTGCTCCCAGCAGAGCTGCGGGCTGCGTCTGAGCAGGAGGGATGGCTCCATATGGAACAGGGCAAGAGCCACCCCGCCTGGTGCAAAGCATCTCAGCTCCCTACACACCAGATTCACCCACTTCCTTGCCCCTCGACTGCAGGCAGCACAGACCACACCAGACGCGAGTGCCACGGACCCTGACATCCGAGCCAGCTCAGGAGCTTGGGGGGTTGTAACCGGACGCAAACAAATCCCTCAGCATCAGATACGGTGATTCCCAGGATGTCAGCAAGAGACTTTGCTGCTTCCTTGTTGCAGAAGAGATGAGCAGCCCTGTGCCAAGGGGTGCCCGCAGGGGAGCGGTGCCGAGGGGCTACCTGGCCGCTCCCTGCCATGCCGGGCTTTTACGTCACACGCCTGGGAAAAGCCAGGAGAGAGCTGGAGCCCAAGCGTAGGGAGAGCAGTGGGTTCCTCTGGAGCTCCCTGCGGGTGCTTCTCCTTTTGCTGAAACTTCAAACCAGATAGGACTGAAAATGCAAATCAGATGGATGGCGTGTTTAACACCGAGAGCAGGAAAGCCCCAGAAAGCCTGGGATAAGTTCCAGAGCTTCTGGCACGCTTCTCTCTCCCATTTAACTGGTATTTCCCCACCAGAACCCTTTCTAAAAAAAAAAAATCTTACCTTATGGAACCATAAAAGCATTGTAAGAGCACAAGGCTTTTGAATCCTGCATGCAAAAATAAAATAAAAACGCTGTCCTACTCTGGCTGAGCTTTAAGTGAGTGGCAGAACATGGTTTTTTATGGAATAACCTGAAATGACACATTTTGTGTGTCTCAGGGAGGCGTGGGCACTGCTCCACATGTTCAGTGTAAAATATCGCTCTGCTTGCTGGTGGAGAGGTGTAAAACGAAGAGAAGTTGAATGCATGTAACTGCCGGGCAATGCCCAAACCCTCTGCATCAAACCCCCTTCCTCCTGGGCCCTGCAATGCCGTTAAACGGGTCCAGGTGCCCTGAGGAGGCTGAGCAGCACAGCAGGGACCGGCAGCACCGGGGAGGGAGGCAGAGGTCCAGGCCCCGGCGGGGAGCAGAGCCGCGGCTCGGAGGGCAGCACAGCCGCGGGGAGCGAGCAGCTCGCGGGCAGCCGGTGGCGTGAGCCATCTGCGCTCTGTGCCCTGCAACAACTCTACTACTAATATTCACTAAATAATTAAAGTCTTAAAATCACTACTGTCTTAGATGCATGTATTATTTAAGAGGGTTTTGGAGAGAAGCAGGCTTGGTTTTATTACTCATTATCACTGCATGTCAGTTGGGATTTTTTACTACCTTGTCACCTCAAGACTCCACATCATGCTCTGTCCCCCTTCGCTGCATGTGCGAGTGTGTGCACATCCATGAACTGCTTGTGCAAATCCCCTCACTTCACACTTGCAAGCAGAAAAACAGATGCCTGGACTGCTTCGAGAACAGCTGAAGGCGTTGTGCTGTCGTGGGACAGATGAACCTGCACGGGCACCCTGTGGCTAGAGGACACAGCTCCCGACACACAACCTGCCTTCCTCCGCGGCGCGAGCGGTGCTTCCCACACACCCAGCACAGCTTCTGCCTCATCTAGAGAGGGTGGCTGAGGAAAATAGTCCATCCTGCTTTAAAGGCTGCACGTGATGGAGAAACCAACGCTTCCCCCAGATGAGAGCGAATCTCGCAGAAGCATCTCACAAATAAACGCCACAGAGCTGCCGTCTTCACCCCGAGCAGCGATGCGCTGACCAGTAAATCTCTCTTACAAGATAATCAGAAATCAGTGCTCTCCATTCACTCAGAGAACCTCATTTCCCAAAAGCAAATCCCAGCTGACTAAATGCCTTTACTTCTGCTCCGGGTTGAGTGATGAATGTGAACAAAGGCAAAGATGACACTTTGATTATCAGCATTAGAGGAGTTTATCTGAAGATGCTGGGGCCACCTTTGCGGGAGCTGTATCCAGACAAGCAAGCCTTGTTCATCACGTAGAGCTCACCACGTTATACGGGGGATTAAATTGCTGGTGAATCATTCTTCACCGAGAAGTCTCCTATTCCATTTCCAAATGACTTAATCTCCCTGCACTTGATTCATGTGGCTATTTAAATCCAACCACATACCCCAGGAAGCACCGCTCTGCTTGGACGCATTAGCATTCCCCACGTGCTGGGTGAGCACAAGCGATTAGATCTTATTTCTGCAGCCAGATGTTGAAGCGTGGTGTTTCCCTGGACGGCTAACAGAGGGTCTGCACGTGGGATCTCTGGTCAAGAAATTCAGGAGTTTGGTGGCTCTGAAACCTCGCGGCAACACTGGCACAATTAAAGGTCTTCCTCTGCTATTGCTCATTTTTGGGTGCCACACCTGGTTTTAACTGGGAATAAATGCAATGCTCTGCATGGCTGAAAGCTCTGGATGTGCCTGTCCTTTCGTGCACACACTCCATCAGCAGCTCTGACTCTGGGGGTCGCAGGCAGGCAGCAGCAGTACAGCTATCCCCGTTCCCACCTCCAGATCAACTCCACACGCAGAAACGTAACCGCGGGCTTCCTATGACAAAAAAGTCATTGCAACTGAGAACGCAACCTTATGAAAGTGTGTTTCAAACACAACCTTTAATGAAAACTGTCCCAAATGAAGGAAAAGCAGAGGGCAGACAACAGGAAAATAAGGCCCATGAACTCAGCAAGCAGGCTAAGAATTCCTGGTTTGAGCCCATGGAAATCCAGCCCGGGAGAGGAGGCAGCTGCCAGCGCAGCCACGCAAAATTCTTACAGTGCCAGGACACCAGGACGTGCAGAGAGAAACCGTGTTAATACAGACACAGAGCGGGGTCAGACTTTTAAGTATTTGGTCCTGGTGTGCCCTCTTTGCTGTGGGTTAGAATTTGCTTGAATAAAAAGTGTAAGATTTGGTCCACTGTGGATAAGTCTGCCTGAGCGAAAAATCCCCGGCTCTCTGCCTGCGAGTACGTGAATGCATGAGCCTGTCTCCTCATGGATGAGGCGAGATTTATACATAATTCATACCCCACGAAGACACTTGGGCATTTGCATGTTAAACCTAGGTGAGTCGCTGCTTTATTAATGCCAGGTCTGACTCTTCCCCGAAGAAGCAGCTCCCCTGCAAACGGCTCCTGCCCAAGTCCTGAGCTGGTGCCAAAAAGTCACCCCAGAAACGACCGAGGAGTTTTATCTTCTCACACTCCTGCTACGGGTTAGAAAGAGGGTAAGGCAGGTAACTGCTGACTAGCTGGTTGAGGGAGTCACTCTGGAAGATACGCTTTGGTTTTAAGCAACCAGGATGGGGATTACAGGATTAGAATAGCTTTAACTGTCAGGCAAAAATTACAGAAATAGGACAGGGTTAGGTGTGGGGTCAGGCAAGAGCATGAACAATTTCAAATTAACCCTTAAATACCTTCTTTTCCAAACACAGGCACAAAAGGGGGACAGCACGTGCCCCAGGATCGCTCCGTACTCCAAGCACTCGCCTCTGCCGCCCTGCTGCAGAGCTCTGCCCACGCACCGGTGACGGCAGCTCCCACCCAGCCCCGCCATCCTCCCACCACGCAGCGAGGAGAGGAGCCCCCAGCCTGGGCCACCAGATCCCCCCTCTGGCACGTCCCGTTGGGCTCCTGCGCCAGGCAGGACGGCACGAAGGGCTGAGCACCATTTCTCAGCTGCTTCTCTTCTCAAGACACAAACTTCAACCGTGGGTTCACGTAACCCTTCCAAAAAAAAAAAATCACGTCGATCGCACAAAACGGCATTCCAACATACAGGCACAGAGGGGGATCTCGAAGCCACCGCTGGGAATAACAAATTAACACCCCAGAGCCAAGGCTATGCTTTCCAGCAAGACTTTCAGTTCTACATCAGTTTATACTTGTTCCACGTTTCAAGATGATCTTTACAGCCAGAGGACTGAAAATTTGTATTTCTAATGAAAGCCTAAAGTGGAGAATGCCCATCGCATAACAAGCGTGGTTTGTGACACTCATTGCAACTCAGATGGAAAGAGTTGTGTCTCACTGCTCACAGATCAAGAACTACCTCGCTAATAACCTGAATACATAGATGTGTCTCAGATTTTGCTACAGACATGAAGAAATTCGCTTTTCAGCTCCTCAGACCAGCTAGGCTCGCCAAGCAAGAGTTTTTAAATGCCCCAATATTGAGGATTTACAAGTTATAACTCCAAGGAACAGCTTTACTGCTGTATGGCTCCAGGTTCCCGCCTGTCTCCAAGAAGCAGCCCAGGAAGTTTCCTGCACGCACGGACACTCGAAGTGCAAATCCCGCCTGGCTGTAGGCCCCCGGTTCCCCGCCTGTCTCCAAGAAGCAGCCCAGGGAGTTTCCTGCACGCACGGACACTCGAAGTGCAAATCCCACAGCTGTCACAGCAGCACCAGAGAGAAAATGTTGGTGCCTCTCAATCTTCCTCCCTGCCCAGACCCCAGTGACGGGGCCGGACACCGAGGTCCCCCAGGTCGTCAGCCTCTGGTCCCCAAAGAGACGCCCACCCGCTCCCGCAGCCAGTGCGTGCCACGACCCGAAACCACCTGTGCTCGTCCTCCCACCCAGGAACGAGGGACAGACCCTCACCAAACATCTCTGCCCCATGTAACCCCCACCGCAGGCATCCCACGGAGACCCCAAGGTACCACCAGCATCACGGGGGCCCAGGGCGATTGCACAGCAGCACGACGCACGTAGCGAGGACATCGCTTCCCCTACCTGAATGGCTTCTGTGATGGGTGGAGGCCAGCGTCAGTCTTCCCCACAGCGTGGTAAGGCAGAGAGTGAGCACGAAAACCCATTTGCTCAGGCTTTGTATGTCTCTCTCACTCATTCTACCAAAAACAAGAAGAGATGTGCAAAGGAAGAGGGGCTGAGGAGGGTTGGGAGGTGCAACCCCCACACACCGATGCTGCTGCATGCAGTGGTGTGGCCCCCAAACACGCATGGCCACGGGGACCGGGGTGGCCTGGCTGTGGGGACACAGCCCTGGGAGGCAGGGCACGCACCCAGGATTCACCCAATGCCCTTGGACAGCCTTGGACTTCTTCAGCAGCACGGGCCGTTGCAGCAGGACAGAAAGAAACCACACCAGCAACAGCACAGCCGAGCGATAGTTACCTCTTACTGGGGTTTCACGCTAACACCTGCGCATCTGCCAACCTTGGGTAGGTCAGGTCTTTGCAAGAGGCAGACATCAGTGCATCTGAAAGGAGAAAGAGAAATATGGGTAGCAATACCTGCTGTGCGGTACCTGCGGGGTGCGAACCACCGAATCCCCCGGGAGCGGCTGGGGAGCAACTGGGGCTCGGCTGGCCCCACACTGGCACACGCACACACACACACACACACACTGCACGCACCAAAACCTCTCCAGGATCTCAGCCCATAATCCTGCTCACCCCCTTTAACACCAGAGTGCCTCCCTCTGCTTCAGAGGAGTTGCTCCTGACTTTTACTGCTCAGAGCACAAAATCGGGCCCGTTATACTATGTTCTTAATGCAGATCACAAATACTAAATACAGACCCAGGGTGTGTGGGAAGAGCCAGAGTGGATCAGCAGGGAGTCATTCCAGGTATCACCTTTTCCGTGTGCAGTTACACGCTGTCATCGCCCTCGCGTCACCGAGGTCCCTTGCCATGACGCCCAAGGTTTGGCTCTCATGGCCTGGGCACTTTGAAAACCATTCACCAACAGACGGACAGACTGGCCACACCAGCTGTCCCAGGGCCCAGCTGCCCTCCTGGTCAGCAGGGCCAGCGCTGCACAGGGCGCTGAGGAATGGGGTAGCCAATGCCTGGACGGACACCCAGAGCCCGCAGCAGCGCCGTGACCCACACCCCGGTGTCCCAGGGCAATGCCTTGTTCTGGGGCTGCTTCTCCTCTCGGTACGTCTGCAAAGTTCATAAAACCACACAGACACACAACTGCGTCCACTGCCTTTGAACACACCTGGCCCCCAGTAACCTCTCTTGGCACCTCTGGGCACACCGGGGCCAGGTGCCATCACTGCTGCCCGCCGGCACCGTGCTGGCACCCCCTCCCACGCCACGCAGGACGTGCTGGGATTGAGCAGAGTTTTACATCACCTGGAGTCCCTAAGGAAAAATTTAAATCCCCCAAAACACAGTGTTTTACCGTCAACTGCTTTAAATATGTTCCCTGCACTATTTATCTGCCAGAGCCCTGCAGGTGGAAACGGCTCTGGGGCTCTGCCGGCAGCAGCACGAGCAATAACAGCTTTGACAGCAACGGCTGCACCCAGCATCTGCCAGGTGAAGTGACAACCTCCTGGCCTCGTTTATCGCCTGCTGAGATCTAACCGGGTCCAGGGCAAATAACCACCCCCCCCATAAAACTTCAGTACCAGATCGTAATTTATTAATGAGAGGCCATGAAGACAAGTGGCAATGACGCCGAGGCCCGGGAGCGCTGCCAGGACCAGGCAGCGGGTGCCTGGGCTGCCCCTGCCCCGTGCAAGGCTCATGCCCGCGGTCCCCTCCCCGGGAAGCTTCGCTGCACTGGCCCCCGCTGCCCGCGCCCACCGGGGCCGATGCAGGCAGCGAGGGCAGCGGGATGCCGGCCGGGCATCGGACAAACCCGGGCTGCTGGGAGAAGAAATCTTTAATTTTCAACCATCTTCTAAATTTCTATCTGCTCTGGACCAGGCTGAGACAGTGAAACATACTCATATAATGAAGTGCCAGAACAGAAAACGCTGACATTTTTAATCAAAACAAAGTGATTTGAGGTGGTAAAAGGGCATTTCTTGTTTTGAAGCATTTCAGAATGAATTGTTCCGTTTTAAACTGACATTTCAAAATGAAAAATGTTTCATTCCAAAATGCTGATTTAAAATGCAATTTTCCATTTTGATTCTCCCAGCTGGAAAAAAAGAACAGAAAACACTGACATTTTTAATCAAAACAAAGTGATTTGAGGTGGTAAAAGGGCATTTCTTGTTTTGAAGCATTTCAGAATGAATTGTTCCGTTTTAAACTGACATTTCAAAATGAAAAATGTTTCATTCCAAAATGCTGATTTAAAATGCAATTTTCCATTTTGATTCTCCCAGCTGGAAAAAAAAAAAAAAAAAATCAGAAAATGTCACCAAAAACTTTGACATTTGCCCAGAAAAAAAAAAGAAAGGTAGCTTGACAAAAACACATATTTTATGCTAGAATTTAGAGGTAAGAAAATACTCCTAATTAACACTGCGAGAAAGTCAGCTTGGCCAGGAGCAGACAGAAGCGTGGTTGGGGAGGGCCCAGACACGCAGGCATCCCGCTCTCCTTCCTGGCTCCATCCCTGCCCAGCGGGTGACAAGGGACTGATCCTGCTCCAGCACAACCTGACCCAGGCTACCCCCAGCGCTGCAGGGACCAGAAGAGCTGTGCAGACCCGCACCGCTGCCCCGGGCCGAGGCAGCCCCGAGCCCTCCCCAAGTCACTGCGTTGCCAGAACGAACCTGAGATGGCTTAATGTGCCAGAAAACCATTGCTGCTTGAAGTGGGCATGAGCTGATGTGACAAGACTGCGCCGACTCCCTCGTGCAAAGCCGTATTTAGGCGATCTCCGGCGCTCCGTCGGGGCTGTTGGCAGGATCTGCTCTGCAAGAGGCTTCCTCAGAGGGGGGATTTTCACACAACAGCCTGCACCGTCGGAGTCCCTTCAGAGATGTCACAGCCCATCATGTAAATATTGATGCCAGCTTAAAACGTGTACTATTTCCTCAATGGAAAAGTAAACAGCTCTCTCGGAGCTGCTCAGTCCTTCGTGTAAATCCAGGGGCAGTGCATCAGCACGATGCCCTCCTGTACCGCGCACACACACCATCCTGGCCACGCTGGACCGGGGAGCCAGGGCGGAGCTGTGCCCCAGCTGGGCTGGGATGTGTGCCACAGCACACATCTGTCCTGTCCCACAAAGGGGCACATCTGGCAGTCCAGATGTGAAGACAGCAGACACGAGGCTGTCACCAGCCTCTGTATTTCTTGCAGCAGTGAGCCCCCGACACCAACGCACACCCCTGTGCAGCTTCTAGCAGAGCAGCCAGGCCCCCACGGGAGGTCAGCCCACACTGAGAATCCCTGGTCTCCTGGCTGCTGCTCCAGCTCCAGCTCCCCCTCCACACAGGACATGCGGGGAGCACAGCTGAGCTCCCAGACACAAGCACTGAGCCCCACAGCATGCACTGGAGCCCCTCCAGAGGAGCACGGTCCCAGCTCCTGCCTCTGGGACCCTCTGGGCCATGTGAGGTTTCCAGGAGCCAGCCCTGAACCTCTCGGCTGGACCAAAAAGCAAGCGCACCGCTGGCCGCCTCCATCCCACACAGGACAGGGACACACTCCCAGTGCAAACTATATTTAGCTCAGAAAGGCTGAGCTGTTTGCTATAGCCAAGGAAGCATAAATAAATCACAGAGTTATCAATAATGCAGCCCGCGCTGTCCACGCTGCTCTCGAAAGGGAATCCACCGCGCTGAGCAGCAGGAGCCACGCTGGCGGCCGGGGAGAGCACGCGGGGTCCGTAGGAGCACGAGGCCGAGAGGCGCCATCCCCGGCAGCGGCCATGGGAGCGATGCTCCCTGTCGCAGCCACACCGGCACAGGCACTCGGGGCTCCCGCTCGTGCACAAACTCCCATTAGAAAACACAGCTTTGCAGAAATTGCTATTTTGACAGTTATCAACCTCCATCGTTGTGAGACTCCAACTACAAATGTTTGGTCTGACTTGAAATTTTTCAGCCTGGAATGTCATTTTGAAATGAAGAGTGCTGTTCTGGCACGTCAAAGCACTTAATTTTGATTGAAAATATCAGTATTCTCTCTTCTGTCATGTTCTGTTTGGCATTTTGTGGGATTCTTCATTAACAATTTTGTTAGTTGCTTTCTGCTTTTTGGGTCTGAGCTGGGACCTGAAGTAACTGCAAAGTGCCCGAATCTCTCCGAAGATAAATCTTGGTCATAGCCGGCGTGGCAGAGACGACTGTTCCTCTCCATGGGCCCATGTCCTTCCCCACGGGCACGAGCCATCGCCCACACGGGAGCCTCCCGAGGCTCCCCCGGCACACAGACACACGGGCACACCGGGAACAGCTCCGCGCTGCCCTCCCAGACCCCGGCCGCTCTGCCGCTCATAGGAGCTAGAGACTTTTTCCTCCTTCTTCATTAAAGCCACACGTAGAACTGCGACCCTCCAGCCAGGACTGCTCCGTCGCAGCTCGGCTGGAAAACAGCCCGGCGCCCCACGGTGCTAATGAGGGACTCTCTGTCATGCCAAATTACACTCCAAGTCCTGCTGGTCTGAAGCGTTGTTTGCAAAGGTCCGTGCGAGCTGGATAATTACAGTTAGCAGAATTCCACCCAAAAAAGAAACAGAGAGGTGGGGGAGGCTGGCACACTGGCTGGTTTTCTGTGCCGAGTGACACAAGCCCTCCCCGCTGCATCTCCAGCACTGTCAGCCTTCGTGCACATCTGGCCCTACAGTTCTGCCAGTTTTCCAAAAGCTATTTTCGCACTCCTGCTGTTTCAGCACTTCTTGGAACTTGGGCACCTTCGTTTGGTGCGAGAAGAGGTGCCGGCTTTGGCGCAATGATCCAGGGGTGCCACGACCACCCGGCGCATCCCTGCTGTGCCGCACAAACCTCACGACAGCAGTGGCCGAGCTGACCCCCCCCATACAAGAGGGAGGGCTGGACCCCCAGATCACCCTGCCTGCTCCGTGCCCGCAGGCACTGCCCGGAGGGAAGGTGTCCTTCCCTCACCCCAAAGCACAGCTCTGTGGGCTGCACAACAGGCGATGGCAGCAGCAGCAGGGAGAGGCTGCTGAG